ATGCCTATCTTCCTGGGTATGAATACTACGGTATGCGTGCAGAGGTCAGAGCATAACTTTGGGTGTCTATAGTGTAGAAGTTATTTTTAAAACCATAAACTCTTTTCATTTATTTATTTCCAGCATATGAACCAGCCACATCAACTGTGGAAAGTGTGTCTGTATTGTTTGCATTCTGAGCTCCACGGCACAAAAGACATTCATTTATAGAAAGCAGTTTTTAAGAAGCCGGTTTTCCCAGATTTTCCATGATGCTAGTCATTTTGTTTTGTCATCTGCTAGCACATGTTCGTAGAAAAGTGAGAACAGGTGCCATAAGTTTAAGAAAAAATGTGTTGGAAGGTTTTTTATCTTTAAATTGCACACATTCTAACAATTAGCATAATCTAATTTAAGCTACAGAACAGTCCAGTTGGGGAGGTTACAGCTGTTTCCTAGGGTAATTTTCTGGAGCACTGAGGCAGGCTTGAAATCCTAATTTAAACCTACAGCCTACTATCAGAATTAAAGGCTCTTGGTAACATATGTCATACCAGCTTTGTGTTTTTATTTGAGCTCCAGCCTAGTTCAATTCCTCAAATATCTATTTATAGGTGAAAGAATCTGTTTAAAGATGTGACCCTTTGTCCCGAAGGAGCTCACCCTCTGAGAGAGTTACACTAAGGCAGGACAACACAGCCACTAGCCACAAGGAGCAGGGAGCTGCAGCGGTGCCAACAGCTTCAGAGCCCAAGGCAGCAGGAGATGGGCTCTGATTCAGAATGGGGTCAGGCCGGGATGGCTTCTCCTGAAGCTGTAACCTGAAGGGCCAACAGAGATAGGGTAGGGGAAGGCCACATTGTGAGCTCTTAGGAAGGGTACAGGGCAGAAACTTAGGAAGTGGGATTTGTCTGGAATGCCCAGAGGGCAGACTGCTGATGGTGGTATGTAGCATAGCAGATCAAATACTATGATACTGGGAAGAGTCTCAGTGTACAGGCTTAGGGAGAAGGCAGGGAAATTTTAGAGACCATTCATGGTTGGTAAAAATACTGTCTTTCAAATTTCATTTCCACTTCAAATCCCAAGGAGTGTCTGTGTCTTTAAATTGTGATAGCGGTGTTGTTAAACCCAATTGCCAATTGATGAAATCTGGAATTACCTGGGAGTTGGGCCTCTAGGGCTACCTATGAGGGTTTATCTTGATTGGGTTGGTGGGAGTGGGCAGAGTCACCTGTGGGTGGCACCATTCCCCAGGCTGGGATCCTGAACTGTGCAGAGCGGAAAGTGAGCTAAATGCAGCAGGCATCTTTCTTTGCTTCTTGACCAAGGGTGCACTGGTCCCCAAGGTCCCACTGCTGTTACTTCCCCACCTTGATGAGCTGGGACTCCAACAGTGAGGGGGAATAAACCCCTTTTCCCTTGAGTTGTTTTTGCAAGTGTTTTCTCACTGCAGCAGGAAAATTAAATAGCTAATTATACTTCTGGAGAACTGACTGCCTCATTTTATTCTTAAATAATACTTTTAGCAATAAGCAAGCGAAAGCTGTTGAGGGTCTTTTCCAAGGCCAACTCATCTGAGCCAGTCCCTCAGATTTTCTCCTTAGATATGTCTTGTAACTAAGAAAAAGGAACCACTCGGGTCTACATTTTATAAATAGGAATTGGGTCTGCACTATAAAAGGAGACACACTTGACATGAAGGAGGGCTGTTAGAAATACTTCAGCCAGGCCTAGCAGCAAAGGCTCATAATAATCCCAGTTTTTCAGAAGGCAGGAACATCACAAGTTCAAGACTAGCCTTTATATTTTGTTTTTTCTTTTTTTTAAATTATTTTTTTTTAAATATGGAGTTTGGACCTCCAAAAGATAGCTGAGCCCCTTGTTCACTGCAGCACCATTTAAGTAACCAAGATGTGGAAAGGATAAAGGGTAAGTCAGTAGATAAAGACTCTCTCTCTCTCTCTCTCTCTCTCTCTCTCTCTCTCTCTCTCTCTCTCTCACACACACACACACACACACACACACACACACACAAATGTTTACATTCAAAATAGGCCTCTGAATTGTCTATGAAGATGTCTAGGAAAAATATTTTGCACTGCACTTATGTGCAGTCTTTTCAACATGAGCTAAACTTCTAAGACTAAGTCAACCCCTGCAAAACTTAGGAAGCAGTTACAACACACCCTCCGTTGTTCTCATCCCTAACAAACAAGTCAGAAAAGTTGCAAAATGATAGTCGCTGTGTTTTCAATTCATTTGAGAACTGAAGACATAAAAAAGGGAAAGAAAAATTACCGGGAGGGAGAAGGGGGGCAGAGAAAGAGGGGGAGTAAGGAGATTACATATGAACTGGGTGTGTATAAATCGAGTTTCCTGTCAGCATGCCCTCAGTACTCAATAACACTGTGTTTTCTTTGTATCAGGTATTATAAATAATAAAAAAAGAAAATATATATAACCTTAAAATAATGGGGTTTGGGGATATAGCTCAGCAATAAAGTGCTCACCTAGCACATGTGAACCCCTAGATCCAATTCTATCAGGAGAAAAGGGGGAAAGGGACGGCCTTAGGTTAGGACTGAAGCCAGCTCCTGGGCTGCAGTCCAGCTCTGCCGCTTTTAGACTGTGCAACCCGAGGCCTATCACTAACCCGACTCGTGCCTCAGTTCTGTGCACAGTGAGTGTAACATTGCTCCTCACCTCGGGGCTCTTTTGAGGATTAAATAACTTGGCGGGTGTTGAGTGTTACAGATAATGTCTGGCATGTAGTAAGAGCTCGATAAATGTTAGCAGCTGCTAAGTCGTTAGGCAATAAAAACAAAAACCCCTGCAATGTTAGAATGTTCGTCTCTGTGACAAGTTCCTAGTATTTAACTTAAACAACGAAGGATCTGTTTGGTTCATAGTTTCGTCCTGTCTCTGTGGGGAGGCATGGTGACGGGAGTAAGAGCAGCTCCCATCATGGCGGCCAGGAAGCAGAAAGAGAATGGTTGTGGATGCAGGCTTTCTCCTTCTTCCCTGCTATCCCATCTGGGTTATCTGAGACATGTTGGTGGTGCCACAGGCATTCAGAGCGGATCCTCCTCCTTCTGTTAATCCTTCCTGCAAATGCCTTCATAGATTTACCCAGAAGCGTGCTTAATAACCTCCCAGATGTTTCTCAATCCAGCCAAGTTGATAATCAAGATGACACTCTCATCTGCCTCTGCCGCTTTCCAGTTTACAAAGCCTTTAGACATAGCCACCAGCTGCATGGCCACTTCGTGGGCGCTCGTTATTCTAGTTATATGATTGCTAACAAGACACCCCTGGAAACAGGTAGAAAACAATCCCCATTTTATTATGCTAATAGCATCTATGAACCAGGCCCTAAGAAATGTATAACAGGGATGACTTTGCTCTGCTGTGCCCAGGCCACCACTAGAGAAGACAAGAAAGGCTGGATCAACTGTGCTTGTAGCACCCACTTTCAAGGTGGCTTCTCACACCACGGTGGCCTCAGGGTAGTTAGCAGACTTCTCACAGGGTATCTACAGCAGAGGTTGTTGCCTTTTATCACCCAGCCTCGGGACACCTTTAAGTGTTATTGGGTTCAAGTAGTCACAGCCCATCCCAGGTTTAGGTCCCATGCCCTTCCATAGAGGTAATTGCAGGAATTTGGCAGCCTTGTTTTGGAATCACCACACTTTGCTAGTCCCTGATTCCACGTGAGAGATGGCAACTCAGTGGAAGTTAAATAATTTGCCCAAAAGCAGCAACTAGTGTGACTTAAGCAGGGAAACTGACTTAAGCAGGCAATTTTCCCCCCCACGTTGGTTTTTCTTTTAGGTTATTCAGTCTCCTCCAGCTTTATGCTTATTAATGTATGAAAGTTGAAAGAAAAAAATGTAACCAGTTGTGTATATATTTGACGGCTTTCCTAAAAAGAAACAGATATAGACAGTTTCCAGGAGAAAGGAGAGGTGGGTAGGGGAAAGATAGAGAAGGGGACCAGCAGGTGCAGTGGTGAGGTACACAGAGTTGCTTCTAATGGCTCAGAATACGGTACGGTATCCACACTTGGCAATGATGAACCATGTGTTTCAAAACAGCTAGTATACATGGACCCGATGCAAAGACACAATGCGGCTCAAGGTGGTAGATACATGAATTACCTTGATCTGACCATTATACATTATGTAAATGTCCCCAAATGTCACACTGTACCATATAAGTGTGTCCAACCTATGTACCAATTAAAATTATAAAATATATTCAAGTGCCACATGGTGATGTTATGGCCAGCATTAGACTTTGTAGAATGGTCCTCTCAAAATTGTCATCTAGGGATGTCATAACCATCTTAATTTGCATAAGTACATCTTAGGATTTCTATTGCTATGATGAAACACCATGACCCAAAGCAAGTTGGGGAGGAGAGGGTTTGTTTAGCTAAAGTATCACATTCCATTGTGAGAAGGCAGGCAGGAGCTCAGGACAGGAACCTGGAATCAGGAACTGATGCAGAGGCAATGGAGGGGTGCTGCTTGCTGGCTTGCACAACCTGCTTTGTTATAGAACCCAGGACCACCATCCCAGAGGGGGCACCAATCACAATGGGCTGGTCCCTCCTCCATCAATTGCTAATGAAGAAAATGCCCTACAGGCTTGCCTACAGCCTAGTCTTTCAGAGACATTTTCTCAGTTAAAGTTCCCTTTTCTCTGATGGCTCTAGTTTGTGTCAAGTTGACGGTAAACTAGCTAGCGCAAGCGTACTCTGCAGTAGTCACACGATGAAACTGACTAATAGTTCAGGTCTGAGACTCCGCCCCTATCACTGAGCAATACACAACTCTATTTCTTCTAAGTACCAGGCTTTCCTTTGTAAGAGCGTGCACACAAATTTCCTATTTTCAGGTGATTCTGGGGTAAGTTCAGTTCTGGTATTGGTCGGATATCTTTGCATTGTTTTTCTCACAAACAGAATTCTCTGAAAATGATCCAAATGCTTAACTATGATTTCATTGGTTTTCCAGGAAAGTCTCACCTGGCCATTGTCCAGAGAGTGAACAATGAAGGCGAAGGGGACCCTTTCTATGAGGTGATGGGCATTGTCACCCTGGAGGACATCATAGAAGAGATCATCAAGTCAGAGATCCTGGATGAAACTGACCTCTACAGTAAGTGCCATTGGGGGTCAGCTAACTACCTCTACAGTAAGTGTGTGCCCTTGGGGAATCCCCAGAAGTGCATCAGTTTGATAAACGGTGTGAGAGGGTGTCAAGGCAAGTGTGTGCACCGGTGTGCATCATCTACCTCTACCCAGTCCTAGCATGGCAAGATACCCTGGTTCAGATCATCCTGAGTCATTGAGAACATGCTGGCACAAGGTTATCAGAAGGGAACTTTCCTGAACACAGTCAGAACTGGGAAAAGATAGCCTAGCCTTCAAATGGTAGGAAAAAAAGACTAAGGGAAATACATTGTGCCCAAGAGGAGGCCCAGGGGTTCTCATTTTAGTTCTTTGTCTACATAGAGCCGCCCAGCTCCCCTTGGAATTCCACTCACACTCAACCCACCAGTGAGCAATGAACACCGTCATGGCATTGCCCTTTGCCCAAGCCAAAAACTTAAATGGTCCTTGCTGGATACTGTTCTTGTCCCTCATGCCTTTTAGCAGCCCCACTGAGTTTCCCACTCTCCTTCCTGCCCCCTGGATTATGTCCCTGTGTGACTCCTATTCCTGTTTCTATTTCGAGATCTTCCTCTCCCTACACCCCTCAGGAACAATATGGACTTCTCAGCAGTGACGGGCAGTTTAGACTCAGGAGCCTTATCAAAACTTTGCTTTCCAACAGTACAAGGCCTTGCTTTGTCTATGGAACTGGGGTGTTATCTAAACCCAGGGGAGTCTTTGGCCAGGAAATGTTTCCTCTTCAGAGTTTCGTCTCCTAAGGTAGCCATCCCCTGCCCTTCCCAGGGATAACTCATTCGAGGTCAGCAGCCTCAGTTGGCCAGAGCAGTCTTCCAGAAACTGGTTCCTCACAGCGAAAAGCTTTGCTACCATATGGCAGTGGTACCTTTGGGCCAAGAAAAGATCAAATCTAGAACATGGGCCAGCCCTTAACAAGAATAAGCTGAGTGTCACAGCCCCTCCCCTCAGGGACCTGTACTGAGCTTTTCCAAACAAGGCGGAGCTCAGAAAGGATCTCCCCCATTCCAGGCTCCCTTCTTTTTCCTGCCCATCACTCTTGCTCTAAAATTCCCAGGGATCTCTGAATGTAAAATGATAAGGACCTTTGCACTAAAGTATTAGTAGTTGGTGGCAGGCTGGGGTATGGATTTAAATGTCCCGAATGCTTCAAATACCCACTGTTAAATCAAGGTAATGGAGAGATCATAGGGCTATCTCTACTAGGAAAGGTTAGTGACATGCTGACAGACACATAAGCAAATGTGTCATATCAATCAGAGGACCGCTCGCGGATGAGCGTCGTATCAATCAGAGGGCCGCTCGCGGATGAGAGCACAGAAAATGGGTCCTTAATCTCTGCTTGATGCTCATTTTCTGGATGAGGCTCTTTCTAGAAGAAAGGGCCAGGGGTTCCCATTCCCTGTAAAGAAACTCATAACTTGATTCGTCAAGAGCCATGAAAAGGCAGAGGAGCCCAGAACACTGCTGTTTCTTCTAACATGACTGGGACTTCTTACCCAATCTGGACACCTGGGTTGGAATCTCCCCACCTTCTCCAAAAGAGCAAAAATAGTGTTGAGGCAGAGCCAGGTGCCTGCCAAGTCCCAGAGTCAAAGACAGACCCACGAGAGCCGTGTAGATGGGAGAAAATCCAAAGGCCCGAATGAAGCCAGCTCCAAGCAAAGAGAGCAAGAGCTAGATTCTGGGGTCCTGGTTTCCTGCCGTGAGGACACAGTCTGTTGGTCCCTAGTGTATCTGGTCTACTTGCATCACAAGGTCCTGCAGCCCTGTTGTTTTCCAGGCTGAGAACAGAGACACATCGCTTTCCTCCTCCCCTCAGCACAGATGAGGTAGGTTAGCATTTTTTATTTTTTTTTAATACTCAGGGAAAGCAAAAGAGAAGTGGTCAAAGTAAACACTTTCTCCACTGTGTACACATATGCATGTGCATTTGTACATAAATGTGTGTCTCTACATGTGTATACTATGTAGGCTTTTCCTTCTGAAAAGCAATAAACTACATTGAGGTTCCAGGCTCTGCAGAGTTCTCACCTGAATAACCAGCTTTTAGAAAGTAGATATTTATTCTTACCCTTCCCCTTCTTGTTTCTTGGATTTCCCATGATTCTTTCTCCAGAGGAAAAGCAGAATTATGAGTGGTAACAGTGACATTCCTTGGGAACCTCTCACAGCATGGCTTAAGCCCCACAGGAGAGAGACTGTGTGAGCCCAGCTCTGAAGGATGGAAGATGACAGAGGGAGAGACCCCAAACCCTTAATGCCAAGAATACCAGCAGATCATGTTTGTATGACTTTGTATGAACGCTGCCATGAATAGTTGCCTGTCGAGGTCTTGCAATAACTACATGGGTAGAAAAGCTACTCAATACCACAGCTCTCTTGAATGGATTAAAACAATCACAAATGCTGATGTATAGAAAGTCTGCACAGCCATCAGGAAGGGAACCAGCCTAGATAGGAACCCCCAGGCAGCTCTTCCCCTATTCATCGACCACCTAAGCACAAACAATGCCAAACCATCTGCTGCCTGCCACCTTCTCCTGGGAGAGAGTCCATTGTGCCTCCTACAATTGGCACTGCAGAATGTATAGGGTCCCAAAGAATCTGTGTAAACCTCCAAAGGCCAACAATGATTCTTTCCCCTGTGCCCCTATAGCTGACAATCGGAAAAAGCAGAGGGTTCCTCACCGAGAGAGGAGGCGGCATGACTTCTCTCTGTTCAAGCTCTCGGACTCAGAGATCAGAGTGAAGATCTCGCCACAGCTATTGCTCGCCACGCACCGCTTCATGGCCACAGGTAGACCTGCCCCACCCACTCCCTACCCTAGCACTTCTAGTAGAACCTGGGGTATCACCAGGTACCACATATTTTAATAGCCTCCACCCCCACTCCTGTGTGCCCCTGGCACTGAGAACCACAAGGCTGCCTCCTGTGGTGTGACCTGGTAAGACCCAGGCTCCCATGCTGTGTTGGTGGGAGGAAGTGAGTGTTCTCCTTTCCACCAGAAAAGGGCTAAGGAAACCACTGTGGAACTCCATTTCCTCTGCTTACTGGAGCCTGAGGCTAACCTGCTGGGATCTTGGTGCCCCAGGGCATTTGTCCCAGAAGGAAGAGCATTAGCCTAGCAAGCAACAAGCCTTTCCACCCCCTCCGGGAGTCAGATAGGCCTGTGAACTAGGAGTTCACAAACTTGAAAACTGGGGTTGGAAATCTTGGTACCTTTGGAAAGAAAAGCAGGGGAAGGGTCGAACTCCTTTTTGTGAAGAGGACAGCATTTGCCTTTGAACTCTCTGATTTTATTCGGCCCTAATTAATATGCTGACCTAGAATGATCAATCCATCACTAAGTCCCATTTTTAGCTAATATAATATCTATTTATTGAGGGTATAACGAGTGCTAGCTAGTTCCAGGTGATAAAAGGTGGGCAAATATAAGGTAGAGCCTCCCTACAGTAGAGTTTTCAACATGGAATCTTGTTTTAAATATAAATTTCTTTACATCATAGACCAATTTCCCAAAGCAAAGAAACTTTGTCTGCCTAGCATTATACTGCAAGTATCAATATATCAATATATAACATCTATTAATGGTTAAGTATGATAAATGATATTTTACATTACTGATAGCTTATTATTTAGATAATTACCTGTCTCCATTGATTTGGGATTTCATTTTATCCAGCAGGTGAATGTAAAGCAAATAAACCAGACTCAGTTCTCTGTGTGTCGTCTACTGTAAAATTAAAGACCTTGTTGTGTCCATGGCTTAGTTGCCCAGCTCCAACTCTAAATAAAGACAAGGAGAAAATTCATAGCAAAACTGACATTTCCCAAATGGTGACCTATTTTTCCTGAAATGCTAGTGAGGCCGCAGTCATCCCCAGAAGGCTCCAGGGTACACACTGGGGACTGAAATTCCTCAATCCAAAGAATTTGCAGAACCCTGACCTCCTTAGGGTGCTTGTTCTAGATGAACCCCCAGGTGCTGCACTTGCCTCCTCCCAGCGTTTGCTGTTGGAATGGGGGAGGTGTAGAAGCACTGACATCTACCACCAACCCCTGCTGCCTTCTAGAAGTGGAGCCCTTTAAGTCTCTCTACCTTTCGGAGAAGATCCTGCTCCGGCTACTGAAGCATCCCAACGTGATCCAGGAGCTGAAGTTTGATGAGAGAAATAAGAAAGCCCCAGAACATTACCTCTACCAGCGCAGCCGCCCTGTGGACTATTTTGTGTTGCTTTTACAGGTGGGTGCAAGGTCAGGGAACTTCCAAAGATCTGCAGGGTAAAGGGGAATGACCGTGGCTGTCCCCTCTCAATGCAAGCTGCCTAGGGAGTGGTACCAATGAGGTAGGTACCCTGCATTACACACAGGAAGGCCACGGGCATGAAAGAGTGGTATCTTGGGAGTCATAGTTTCTTTGGTGGTCTTTCATCTGAGCACTCAGGTATGTTTGTGAGTCAGTGAGGGGTGTGTATATTCAGTACGGCTTTCTGCTTCTGAACAGAAAGAGCCCTGTGGAATTCTGATATTTCCAGGGATCTGCTTGGGTATCCCCTGCTGCCTTCTGGAATGCAGATGATTCTTGTTAAAACCTCTCTTCAGTCGGCCTGAATCTCAGCTTCTCTGGTGTCCATGCTGGTCCTCGCTCTGCCTCCTGGAGCACGTGGAGCACATTCATTCACTGTGCTTCACTCTTTGTGGTCCCCTGAAACATCTCTCTCTGAAGAGGGTCAGGAAGGGAGGCAATGACTGCATGAAAGAAATCACCCTTCCCCGGGACATTCATAAAAATACTCGCTGCCCTGGATATCTGATCAGGCCTATCTTAAGTAGGTATCAAAGCTGGGCATGGTTTCACAGGCCTGTAATTCCAGCACTCAAGAAGCAGAGGCAGGAGGATAGCTCTGGGTTTTAGGAAAGTTTGATCTACATACTGGGTTTGGGTTATGCAGAACCACTTGGCAAGAGCACAGCTGTGCCCTGTCTTGGTCCCCACCGTAAGCCCTGCCACTGGCTCCATGTCTCTTCCCAGTAGTGATGGGTTTAAGATCTCAGTGAAGATCTCATTAAGTTAGAAATAGCCTGTTTGTTACAGTCCACTTCAGTCTGTCCTTCCAGAATCGCGGTTTGTGTGATATCATTCCAAATAACCTCAATAAGGTGATTGTTCTTCCCCAAAATGTGGGGCCACCTTCTTCACTGTGAGAAATGGAGATGGATCCTGTTCTAGTGTGTGTGTGTGTGTGTGTGTTGTTTATATAACAATATATCTTATTATAATGCAAGGACACATGCAAGCCTTCTTATGTTTAACAAAAAATTTTCAGATAGAACGCTGAAGGGAACAAAACGTGGAAGAAAGGTAGGCAGGCTCAGGAATTAGAAAGATTTGCCTTGAAAATGTCATCATTTCCAATTGCTAACAAACCTTGGCCAAGCCAATTAACCTCTCTGAGCCTGAATCAATGCATCTGTCAAAGAGACATAAAAACATTACGTATTCTGTGAAGCCGCGGGGCTGACAGAGAGCATCCACACGGTGCACACAACAGTATCAAATGCGTGGATGTGGCTGTACACTCTCCTACTGATTGTCACTGTCGCCAACGATGAGTTCAACAAGATCAGATTCTGTCTCATCCAGGCTTGGAAATGGTCTCATCGGGACCAAGTCAGTGAAGCTGTTCACAGGGCTCCGGCTTAGCTGGTGCTTTAGACCTGTGTTCCAGAAAGACCGTGTGTCCGGAAAGCGTGGTTGTTAGTGCCCAGGTGCTTGCTACCCCAGGATTGACAGCAGCGAGTTCGCGGCAAAGGGCTTCTCAGGCGGGAGGTCCTGTCCTGTAAATCAGGGGGATGAATGCTGCCCTGTGAGAATGGGGGTCCTCTTGTCACACACAGATAAGCACATGGGGTGTGAGCGGAAACGAACCCTGGACGTGCCCCTCACAGCCTCCGCACACTTTCTTTCTCCAGGGTAAAGTGGAGGTGGAGGTTGGCAAGGAAGGCCTTCGCTTTGAGAACGGAGCCTTTACCTACTACGGCGTTCCTGCCATCATGACCTCGGCTTGCTCAGGTATTCCAGTCCCCAAGCCTGAGTTTATCAGGGTTTATCAGAGTTTATTACTGCTTCAGTGAGGATCACCAAGAAAAATCTAGGCTCAAGCGTTGGCTCTTCTGACTCCTGTTAAAGACCCTCCGAATAAGCTGTTTAACTTCCTTGAATCTGGTTTCCTTCATGCCAGATGAACATAAAAATAACTTTCTAGTCAGGTTTTGTTTAGTTTTTTAAATAAGAGGAAGAAAATTGAGTTGGGAGAGGAAAATGCAATCACATAGCAAGTGCTGGGGTGGAGAATGTATTCTTCAGTATGAAAAGACAAGTGGTTTCACTTTTTACCCCTCTCCCCTACCCCCATGTTTGATTGCCTGATTTCCGCAGGGTTAATTGGTCCTGGGGTGGAGTGGAAGTGGAGATTCCCATAAGAAGTTATGTTTTCTGAATTACTTCTGAACCCCACTGCATCCTTCTGTCCTTAGATAATGACGTGCTGAAGGTTGGAAGTCTGGCCGGATCCTCTGTCTTTCGTATGTATCTCTCAAACCCCTTCCTGGTCTTCCCCATCATGGCCCTGCCTCAGCCCACTTTGGGACCCTGAGCCAAGCATTTTGAACATGGGCAGGGCTAACACAAGTGCTGGCAGCCTCTTTGCAATACTCTGCCAGGAACAGGGCCTCCCACCAGGTACCCACAGAGCATTGAGGCTTAAGTGGTGTGTGGCTGGAATGTGAGCTGTGGCTTCTCTGTTCACACCCAAGTGATAAATGGAAGTAGAGGAGGGTAGGTGTGTGCTGTGGTTGCCGGCACCATGAGTTGCCACCTGCTAGGAAATGCAAGCAGCTGATCTGTGTGCTCTGGTATGGCCCAGTCTTCCCTTCCCTGCAGTGATCATTAATCCCTGGCCTTTACCTGGAGTGCTGGGATTTTGTCCGTAATGTTTGTCCTCAGGGAACGTGACTGTGGCATTCCGAGTTGTAAACTAAGGCTGGTGCAATCTGCTACTTAGCTACTGCTTTTTCCTTGCTTGCAACCTCTCTGGTTGGGGAGGAGGTGGCTGCCAGCTGGCCCTGCATGCTGCCTGGGGGTAGGGGCTGGCACAGGGCTGATGGCTGGCTTGATCTGTCCTTCTGTGCTGTACCTTCTTGCTGTTTTCTGTGCAGAGTTGGTGTGTTTGTGGGTAGAAGGCATGGCTTCTATTGTGATATAAATGTGATCCAGCAAGAATTTTCTCTAAATTTCCTTTAAATTCATTGGTTAAATTTTGCACTGTGGTGGCCACTTTAATATCAAATGGGATATTTCCTTTCATCATAAAAGAGATTTCCAATAGTGTCATATATTGAAATTTATCAGAGGACTTTGGAGTTTGATATCCCAAGAACAGAACAAGGTAGATGTCACTTCAGAATGAAAAACAGGGCTAGGCATATAGAGCAGTGGTCAAGTAGTTGTCTAGCATGGGCAATGCCCTGAGTTCAAATCCCAGCACCACAAAAACAGGTAAATAAAAAAGTTTATTAATTAAGATTTTAATAAGAAGAGGTAGAGAAGCAATTTGTTCCATATCACCCAGCCAGCTGGTGACTTACCTAGACAGGACTACTCCTGTGTCCTGACTAGTTCTCACAGCACAATGGATATAGTTTAGATCCATGTTTCGCAATGCAATAGCTGTATGGAAATGATAGAATAGCTTACCGTGTCATTTTAATTCCTAGCCCACCAGATGGCTGAAATGAAGTCTTAAGTATTTGTTCTCCCTGGGGACATAGAACTTGTATGAGATCTGTTTAAAAAAAAAAAAAAGGAAGGAAGGAAGGAAGGAAGGAAGACAGACAGACAGACAGACAGACAGACATAGAAGGGAGGGATAAAAAAAAGAAAGATAGAGGGAGGGAAGGAGGGAGGGAGGGAAGGAGAGAGGAAGAAAAGGAGGAAGGAAGGAAGGAAGGAAGGAAGGAAGGAAGGAAGGAAGGAAGGAAGGAAGGAAGGAAAAACTGATGTAGTATGGTATTTATGTCAGCCAATGACTGTCAAGCACAGTTGATAAAAAGAGATACCAGGGCTCAGTATAGAGAGGTGAACAGATGAGAGACAGCTCCCAGGACCAGGACAGGAGGTGCCCATGTGACACAGTAGAGGCTACTCTAGCACCCTAAGATGCCACCTGGAAATGCTGACTCTGTTCCAGTTCTTCAAAAAGAGCCCTGAGAAAATCAAGAGAGAGCTTCATAAGTCTCCCCGCCCCTCTCCCCTCCCCTACTTCATATGACTTTTCTTTCAAAGAGGGCCAGCAGGACAGCTCAGCCGGGACAGACACCTGCCACTGAGTCTGGTGGCTGAGTTTGGTCCCCAGAGCCCTCATTGAAAAATCCCTGACTTTTGCCCACATGTTGTGGCACACCACCCACCCACATACACACAAATAAATGCCAATAAATGTAAAAACAATTTTGAGTAAGAAGGTGTTATCTGGCCTCCTCTGAGTCTAGTTCTGTCAAGAACCCTTCACTTTATCAGTGAAAAAAGAGTAAGCTTGCAATAGTTGCCTTTTTAATGCATATTTTATTTTATTTTTTATTCTTATTATCATTTTTGGTTTTTCAAGACAGAGTTTCTCTGTGTAACAGCCCTAGCTGTCCTGGAAGTCACTTAGTAGACTTGAACTCACAGAGATCCACCTGCCTCTGCCTCCTGAGTGCTGGGATTAAAGGCATGTGCCACCACCACTCGGCTATTTTATTAATTTTTTAAGTCAATGTACAAAATAATGGGCTTTATCACGGCATCTTCATGTACATGAGTCATTATATTTTGTATTCAATTAACTAATTAAAGGGAAGCATTAAATTCTCTTTCCTTTCCCATGCTTCTGAGCCTTATACATATTTATTCAAGAAAGATAAATATCATTGGCTAGTAGGGGAAAGAGCTGCTGTCCATCCTCCATCGAGTTCTTCCTCCTGAGTGAAGTACAGACTAACTGCAAAGTTCACCCATGCCCCATGGTTGATCCCTAAGTTGGTGCTGAAGTCAAGGCTCAGGGGCACCCAGCTCCACTTTTTACTGACCAAGAACATCAGGGAGGAAACTCCTGCAGGACTTTGACCCTACAAGACCCTTACTCAGCCTTACTCAGTCATTGAGGTGGAAGTGAGCTGATGCATTTGTAGGGACACCTGTGACCTGTGCCTCAGAGTTGAACTTGAAGTTACAAAGAATTCTCCCAGGTGTTTCTGAGTGGAGCAGAGGGAGCCCAATCCACACTCTGCCCACCACCACCCCTCCTTTATGTAGCCTGACTAGCCTAGAACTTTCTATGGAGATCAAAACTCACAAAGATCTGTGTGCCTCTGTCTCCTGAATGCTGGAATTAAAGGCATGTCGTCGGGCTAGGCTCACACTCGATTCCTTGCCTTGATGTTGGTTGCCAGGAACCCCAGGAACCCATGGTGAGGGAGCCCGGTTTTCTAGAGGAGCCTCACAAGTGCTCAGGTAGAACAGGAGCACACAGAGGTAGGCAGTGGGGAGAACAGGCCTGCTTAGCCTGTTAGTTAATTTAGAAAGAACTGGAGAATGGGACTCTCTCATTCCAGTGTGTCTCAGAACAGAGGCCTGTCCAGACACTCGTTAACATCCTGTGACGGAACTAATGGTTATCAGATAGGTTAAACAACAAGCAAACAAAAATCCCCTCCTCTTGGCCTGCATGGATAGGTAATTTCAGATCAAATCTGTGGTATAGAAGAGAAAGCTGCAGAAGCCGCCTGTTTCAGTGTGCCTGCAGATCAGCTTCACTTGGGTCCTGGGAAGGGATTCTGAGAACGGCCAGCTAAGACAGACAGACAGACATCCCGTGTAGAGCAGTGCATCAGGATTAATATGAGTGAAGAACTGGAGCCCTGTACAGTCTGCTCCACCGAGGCCCGAGTGATGGCTGTCACCATTTCTGACTCTGGGGAAAGAGAGAAGGGAGGAGAAGAGAGAAGAAGAGAGAGAGGTGCTTCGGAATGCTTGTGATTTCTAGGAAGTAACTGTGATCCGATCCATAAAGCTGACTCACAGTTGAACTACTAGAATCCTGCTCAGCCTTTGCCCGCAGCCTCTAGCCATGCCCGGGTCCTCACCAGCACTGTGCCATATAATATAGCGTCACCCGGTAGCCCCGGCGGGATCTAGCCTCCTAGCGGATGCCCTCCAGGAGCATGCACCTGGCTTCCTGACCTCTGAATGTCTGCCCAAGGGCTCTCCTGTATGAGCAGGCTACGTGAGACAACTGGGAGAGTGGAGGGCAGGGGACGGTGCTGGGCTCTGGCAGATTTGCTGGAGGTGGGCACTCAGAGAAAAAGCTGCTTGTGTGTTCCCTCCAAGGGCACTGGCTTGCCAGTCACTGGCATCTGTGAGTCCCACTGAGATTTTCGCATCCTTTCAGGGGACCTTCAGTTCATTTTATTTTGTCTCTCTGGAGGGTGACTTCGTAAACACACAATTCCTGTGCTTTCTGAAGCAAGGTTTCCTTTTTGCCAAGAAATGTGATATTGGGAAGAACCAGGGACAGACTGTCTCACCCATTTTGCTCTTTGTCTCTCTTCTTTTGTGTTTATCTTCCCCTTTGCTACTCACATGTCCTTGGCCCCCCCCCCCCGACTCTTTAGTGCCCGTCTCTGTGTCTCGTACCTTCGCCTTCAGCAGAGGGGACTCTCTGGCAGGCTCCCCAGGTAAACATGCATGAGTATCTTGGGTCTCTGTAGATCCAGTGGGGTTAGCAGGAGGCATCTGATCTCCCTCCCTGTCCTACATGAGAGCTGGGCTCTGCCCACAGGCACTCCAATGACTAAGGCATAGCACATCACACAGATAACACTCATTTGCATAGCAGACTGGTCCAGCAGTATCAGTTAGGAATTTTCCTGCCAGGATATATTTGTGTATGTGCACGGAATAATGGTTGCGGTGTGGACTAGTGTGAGTTCTTCCACATAATTTGACTCTGCAGAATGGAGGGATAAAAAGTACAGAAGGAGAAACGTAGGAGGAAATGATGGAACGCTGTCCTACATCCCTACCACCTCTTTTTCTACCACGTAGTTAGCTAAGCTGCTAGCCCATCCCCCTCTTCCTAGCAAACTACTGAGGGATAGCTGCATTTCCTGTGGTTCTGCTCGTGCAAAGGTGTTGTGAGTGGAGGGGGGCTTCCCCTACACAAAGGCTACTGTATGTAAAAATGCCCGCGTAGCTTTTGTTACATTTAACTCCTCGTGTTAATGAAATACAGTTTGATGGTTTTCTTTTTCATCAAGTGAAGCCTAACAGAGTGCTCAGTAATCCAGTGGCTGAGTTGGGTACAGTAAATCTGGATGATTAAATAGCTGTGTTTCTGTCGTTTGTATCTCTAGAGTTGGTCTCTTAGTACCATGGAGTAAGAACCAGAGCAGGAATGTATTAGCTACAATTTCCTGCGGCTAAAAAGTCCAGTTTCCTGTGGTTTCTTCTTCTGTGGCTCCCTATCCACACCCACCATATACTC